TGCACTTGTTCCACGCTGGCGTAAAACCGTACAAGTTGATGGGGACTATGTGGAAAAATAGTATGTGTAAAGGAAACATTGATTTATATTGTCACTAAATTTGAGCCATCTTGAATAAATATATTCTGAGGAAAAAATTTGGGGCATTATTTAATGAGTGACCCTCGTAAAATATACAGGAAACAAATTTAGGGCACTTGTGGAACATCTAGTGGGTTAGGTTAGGTCAAAGTTAAAATGCATACTTCTGATGATGATTCCTTAACATTATCCATGCCACCTAGCAAATACCAAGAATCACTAGTTAATATTGACATAGATGGTTAGTATCTGCACCCCACAGAACCCATGAAATGGAGTAGGACAACTCGCACAACAGTTCATCATACCAGTTGCAGAACATTTCCCAAGAATGGAATAAATCACATTGTTAACAATTGCTTGTCAGTTTTACATGAAGTTAAAGTTTGCTGCAATTTCAGCGCACTCAAAAATTTGTTACTAAAACGATACAAGTATCATATTAGGTAATTACCATATGAGCAAAATTACATGCACTTATATTGCAGCCAGACATAAATACACAGAATTTACAGATACATAGTTACATTCGATATTTCTAAAGAAAAGGCCTTAGCAAGATAGAATTTTCCTGCTGCGTAACTTGTTATTGAGTGAAGTCTGTATCTGACTTATTTAGTGGTTAGGTCTCTTCTTTAGAAGGCTGTTCAATAACCAAAATAACATTACAGGTAGCCCTTGATTTACGCTGGGGATGTGTTCCTGGACGAACCGGCGTAAATTGAAACTCTTTTTATAATGTAAATCAATGGGAAGTCAATGACATGCGTTCCCAGCACCCAAACTTTGACGAGTAATATTATGGCATTACATTTAAAGCCCTGAAATAATGTAAATAAAATAAAGGGAATTTAAAAAATATATTTTATACACTTAACAATCGGCAATTCGTTGGTCCCCGCCATTGACTGCGATTCTTTCATGTGATTGATGTGTAGTCATCTCTGCCGTTATGCGATAGTTGCATTCATGTAAGACGCCGACCTATAGAAAATCGCGTAGTAAAAATAACCCCGGTACCTCCTCAGAGATTAAATTAATCCTTTGAAAGTTGCTGGTATTATAATATCATGCATGTTACAACTGTGAAGTGCAAGAACTCAACTGAAATGAGATATTCTTTTAAAAGACCTTGTACTTTTCCAATGATCACATAATGTACTGTATTACATTTTTTGGAATAATGTTTTTAAAGGAAAAATTATTTAATTTTGAAGGTAACTCCATTATACAGTTTAAAGTGTGATATGGTAATTTTGAAGTAGACTTGTCATACAGATTTTTTGGTAAATTTCATTACAAAACATGGATCATAATTTTTTCAGGTGAACTTGTCTGGTTCTCTGGAAATTTGGCCCTGGTGGTCAAATTGTATACAGTAGGGCCCCGCTTTTCAATTGCGTGCATATGCCCCACGCGCTCAATAGCTGAGTCAGAAGTGTGTCCGGAGCCATTTTCTCGTCGCTCATTCAGTCTGTTTACAGCTACTACTGATATTCATTTTACTTTCATATCGTTCTTTAGGCCTTTTGTGCACTTACTATATTATAGTATAAACATCTTATTAGGCTTTGATATGCAATTGCAATTGAAAAAAGGAAGAAGAAAAAAACGCTTTTCGGTGGGGGTCTGGTCCTTAACGTGCCGTATATGCGGTGCCCTACTGTACTGTATTCAGTGGGCAAGGAATAACCCATCTCCTCAGCACTCTCCCCTTTTATTTGGGAGATACATCATAAATATACTTATCACATGTTGTAGCTGTATCTGATGAAGTATAACGGTGTATTAAGTGGTACATTGGAATCTGATATGCTTTTGTCTGCAGGCCCTAAGATTGCTGGTTCCTCTGTAAGCAGTAGACGTGTTATTGAGGTGCAGACCCTCCAGTGAAGGATCTGTGGGAGGTCTGCAGTTGCCTACTACTACTGAGGATCTTACCAAGGTAAATCCAAAAGCTCCAAAAGAAAGGTAACAGGTCACTGCAGGTTCTGATTTTTTTTATGTGGGCTACAAGCGTCAGGATGAAGATTTCTGTCTTCTGGGTTGTTGCACTGTGTAGTCTGGTCGATGTTAACCAACATTTCAGAGGTATACTGCCTCCGTCATCAGGGCGATGAATCATCACAGTATGACCTCTGAAATGTTGGTTAACATCGACCAGACTACACAGTGCAACAACCCAGAAGACAGAAATCTTCAT